CTTTATGTATTTTCTTTTCATCTTTTTCATTGTTGTCGATTTTGTGTTTGCTGAGTCTTTATATTTTTCTAGTTTTTTATATTGACTTGTAGGATTGTTAGTTTCCTTTGTGGTTACCTTAATATTTACCCCTATTTTTCTAAGTTTATACCAGTCGTTTATTTCTTTATATCACCTTGACTTCCTCTTTGTATGAAAAATCTATGTCTACATATTTTAAGTCCCTCTGTTTTGTTTTAATATTGTCATCTTTTACATATTGCATCTGTTTCCCTATTTTCAGTGCTTTAGCTTTGATTTACTTTTGTAACTTCCCTGTCTGGGTTGATAGCTGGTTGCTCTTTCTTGTGTTCTAGTCTTGGGTTGTAATCTGATGTTACTGATTTTCTAATCGGAGGACTCTCTTTAGTATTTCTTGTAATTTTGGTTTGGATTTTGCAAATTCCCTAAACTTCTGTTTATCTGGAAATGCCCTAAGTTTGCCATCATATTTGAGAGACAGTTTTGCTGGATATATAATTCTTGGCTGGCGGTTTTTTTCCTTCAAGGCTTTCTATATGTCATCCCATTGCCTTCTTGCCTGCATGGTTTCTGCTGAGTAGTCCAAGCCTATTTGTATTGACTGTCCATTGTAGATGACTTTTCGTTTCTCCCTAGTCACTCTTAAAATTCTCTCTTTATCTTTGGTTTTGGCAAGTATGATTATAATATGCCTTGGTGACTTTCTTTTGGGATCTACCTTATTTGGGGTTTGATGATCATCTTGGATAGATAGCTTGTCATCTTTCATGATATCAGGCTAGTTTTCTGCCAACAAATCTTCAACAATTCTCTCTGTATTTTCTGTTATCCCCCTCTGTTCTGGTACTCCAGTCACTCGTAGGTTATTCCTCTTGATAGAGTCCCACATAATTCTTACCGTTTCTTCATTGTTTTAATTCCTTTTATCTGATTTTTCCTCAAATAAGTTGGCGTCAAGTGCTTTATCTTCAGTCTCACTAGTTCTGACTTCCATTGCCTCAGTTCTGCTCCTATGACTTTCTATTGAGTTGTCTAATTCTGAAATTTTATTGTTAATCTTCTGGATTTCTGATTGCTGTCTCTCTATGGATTCTTGCAG